AGAACGAGACGCTTTCTAGGAGCAGACGGCCTGGCCTCTTGAGAAGTCGAGGTCATTTAAGAAACAGCAGGTGGGCCAAGGGGACCCATTTAGGTGGAAGGAAGCCTAAGAGAGGCCCATGCAGGGCGGGAGCCCCAGGGTTTCTGGTTCACGTGCTTTTAGGGTATACATCTCTTTGTTTACGGTGCTGGGGATTGACCCCAGGGGTGCTCCACACTGAGCTGCATCCCCAGCCCTTTTATTAAATCTTGAAGTAGGGCCTCCCTAAGTTGTCCAGGCTAGCCTCGAACTTGCGCTCCTCCTGCCTCAGCCTCCCCAGCCTGAACGCTCCTGGACACATGGAGCAGGTGGCCTGAGTTGTCAACAATATTAAGGAATCACTGCCGACTCTCAGGTGTGTAATGGCACTGGGCCACACAGGAGATGCTGCGTGTCCAGGAGATGCACGGTGCTGAGACACCCCTCCACTCACTGCCCAGGAGCCGGGGAGCAGGGAGGGGGAGCGAGCAGCCGTGATGCACCCTGCGGTTTCCAAACTGAGGGATAAGCCTGTTCTTGGCAAGGTGTCCCCAAGGTGTTCCTGGGGTCGCAACCACTTTCTTAGCAGTAGAGGGGGAGGGACAGGACTGAGGAGGCAGCCCAGGCTCCGCATCTATCAGGCGCAGTCCTGAGGCTTCAGAGGGGCCCCTCTGGCTCAGGGTCCCCAAGTCCGCAGCAAGCCCTGCACCTCCTCTGAGCCTCCCCCGCCCGGCCTGGGCGACAGGGTCTTCCCTGCCCACAGTTCTCCCCGTCGCTGGGTTTGTCCCTGCGAAGCTCATGCTGGGCTCAGGCGCCACTGCAGGATCCCCTGGGAGGGGTGCTGGGGGTGCAGAGGGGAGGCGCCACTCTTGCCATGTCCGCAGCTGCCGATCCCTGGGCTCCCTGTCGGGTCTCCCCCAGCCTCCTCCCTCGGCCCACCAGCACCCCCAGGAGCCCGGCCACCTGCTCCCTCGGGCTGGACCCTGCTGCCACACTGCTGTGTTGCCTTGGCCCCGAGTTTTGCCCCATCTGAGCCGTGAGACGAGCAAGAACCTGCCCAGCTGCTCGCTGACCTGCGGCCAAGCCCAGGGGCTGCCAGGGCACTGCTGGGGACCCCTCCCCGAGCAGGAGGGAGGAAGGGCGCGCGCGCGCGCACACACACACACACACACAGGCTGTGTGTCACCTGCAGCTCTGGGCCGTCTACCTCCAGCAAGCCCCCTGGGTGACATTCCTTCCTGCTCCAGGCTACACAGACCATGGGGTCCACATCGTTCCCCAAAGACACGTCTCACGCCAAAACCCTGACCTGCTGCCACCTCTGCCCGCAGCCCTCCCTGGGCCGACCTCTGTTTCCTCCATCGCCTGATCCTGGGCTGCGGCTTCTGAGGACGGAGCAGTGACGTCGCTGGCAGCCCCACCCACCCCATGCCCCTCTGTGCAAGCTCAGGCTCGGGTCTGCCTCCCTGGTGGGGTGCAGGGCCTTGGGGGACAGACAGGTGGCCCAACGTGCCCTGCCTGGGCCCCGCTGGCCCCTCTCCAGTAGGGAGCCCAGCCCCTCCTCCACACTGGGCTTCCCCGGGTTGGGGAGCAGCTGGGGACCTGCCAGGGCTAAGGGACAACACCCCGGCCTGGAACCCGCACCCTGAGGGGAGCCGCGGACCTGCTGAGCCCAGGAGCCGACCTCTCCCACCCCAGGACGCGGCCCCAGGCAGCTGGCGGGGAGAAGCCCTGGGGGGCTCCACAGTCAGGCCATGTGTCCCTTGTCCCTAGCAAGCTCTGGCCACTGGACACAGATGAGGGCTGCTCCTACCCTCAGGTGATACCCATGTCCCTGGGGACTCCCCGTCACCCTGTCGGTCCATTTAAACCCCACGACGGGAGGAGGGGCTCCCCAATCTTTATGTTGGGAGGAGCAGGAAGCTCCAGCCCGGGACTCCACCACAGCCTCAGCTCCCCAGCCTCCCCCAGAGCCTCCCCCAGAGCCTCCCCCAGAGCCTCCCCCAGCCTCCAGAGCCCCTCCCCTGGGCCAGCCTGGAAACGGGCTCCGTCAGGGACATGCTTCAGCACAAACCTCCGCAAGCCAAACAGCAGCACCAGAGTGGGCTTCCGGAGGCAAGGCCCACACGGCCCCCTCCCCCCAAGGCAGGGGCACGGTCCCAGGAGGGGGACACGTCTGGACATTCTTGTTTCAAAGCCTTGCAGGAGGCTCTGGACCAGGGAATCTTCCCCCTGCTCCAATCAGCCCTCCCTGCCACATGCAACCCCAGAGGGCCCGTGAAGCCCTGGTGGTCCCAGAGCCAGCTGCCACCTGGGGCCATCCAGGGGCCACCAGGCCACCCAGCTGTACAGAGTCCAAAGCCCCTGAGGCTAGGAAGCTGTGTTCTCCTTGGACTCTGCTTCCACCTGCCACGGTGACAGTGACCCCACCACGGTGACAGTGACCCTGCCCCGGTGACAGTGACCCCACCATGGTGACAGTGGCTTCCTTTTCCTTACAAGCACAGGACCTTTTGTCTGGATCACCCACCTCCGAGCACTGGCGGGACTCCCGTGCCATGGGAACCCGGCCTCGCTGCAGCAGGGGGCGAGGGGGTGCTGGACACTCCGCAAGCCTCCCCACCACTGTCCTACGGTGGGGCCAGGTGAGTTCTCCTGGTGTCCACGATGCCTGTGGGCTTGGACCAGTGGTCACCAGCCTCCCTCTGCCCCTTATGTGCATCGACAGGTCCCTGCACCCATCGAGGGTGGGCGGTGTCCAGGGCCCAAGGAGGAAGCCCTGCCTGTCCTACTGCTGAGGGCCCAGGAGGCAGGAGGCCAGCGTCCTACCCCCCACGTGCCACACAGCTGCCCAGGAGCCCAGGGCGGTGCAGACTGGCTGGAGGTGTCTGGGGAGCAGCCGGTCACAGGTGAGCGGCTGCAGCAGCCTGTGGGGGCCCTTCCGTGTGCAGCAGGTGTCCGGTCACACACTGCCTCAAGGAACAGTGAAGGTGTTTGTGGGTGAGATCCGAATCAGAATCAGGTGGCTTGAGTGAAGCATGACCCTCCCTAACGTGGGTGGACCCCAACCAGTGAGGACCTTCAGAAAGTCCCAACCTACAGGACCTGGTGGCGCACCCCTATGATCCCAGCTCCTCCTGCTATCTCAGCTACTTAGGAGGCTGAGGCAGGAGGATTGCAAGTTGGAGGCCAGTTTCGGCCACTTAGTGAGACCCTGTCTCAAAATAAAATAAAAAGGTCTGGGGTTGTAGCTCAGGGTGGCGCACTCGCCCAGCCTGTGACGGCCCCGGGTTCCATCCCCAGCCGCCAAAGAAAAGAAAGGAAAAAATCCCAACCCAATAATGCACGGTTGTTTCTGGAAGGAGCCCCATTCTGAAGTTATCTACCCCCCCTTGGGTCACCATCGTGACATAAATCGGGTGTGGCTGAAAGAGTCCGGGTGGGGACCAGAAGGTGCTGGCTTGCTCAGCAGTGCCAGGGTGTCCGGGTCTGCAGGACCCAGGGAGAGAGGGCCCAGGGCCTCGGCTCCAGGCAGGTGCCCCGCCCCTCGCTTCAGACCGCTTTCTTTTCAATCACACAGCCCTGCCTGGGGTCCACGCTGCCCACCCTCTGACCACACCACGCCCTGGCATTCAGGGCCACCCCTCTCGGCTCTCAACTGGGGATGGGTGGATGCTCGTCTCTGGCTGAAGGTCCCCATGGGTCCTGAGCGCTGAGCTCAGACAGGACCCTGGGACCCAGTGCAGGACCTGGTGTGCGTGGCCCCACACACAGGAAGAAGCAGCAGCAGGAGTGACCAGATGCTGAACGGCTCTTCTCCTGGACAAGGGGCTTCAGGGCATGAGCCCAGCACCCAGCCTGCCTCAGGGATCCGAGTCCCCCACCTGCTCTCACCCCTGACCCTCGCTGCCTGGCCCAGAGGCCTACGCCAGGGTGGGGACGAGGACCCTCAACTCCTGCTGGGCTGGGCTGGCCGCAGCCCTTCTGGGAGCCAGACCTGCACAGGGGCCAGCCTGCCCGTGCCTCATGCAAAACAGATTTCAAATCACCCAACCATTCTATTTATAATTCATAGCAAAATGGTTTGTTGCTGTAAAAATATATTTGCACATTACACAAATAGGCCCTGCCAGCAATTATCTTAATGCTGTAGCTACAATTAACACCTACTTACCTCGGGCAAATTAGCACCCAATTTAATTTGAGTGGCGTGTCCGCTGTGTGGGGAACAGAGGAAGCTCGGCTCTCATAGGGGACCAGGAGTCTCACAGAGGGCTCTGGAGGGACGAGGGGAGGGCCACAGCCACCAGGGCCTCACCCCCAGGCCCAGGGAGAAAGGGTCACAGGGTCACACCAGTCTCAGGTGCTGAAATCGGATTCTGGGAGGCGAAGGGGCTGCAGTCGCTGGCTGGGCAGTCACCAGCACCCATGACGAGCAATTTTCTCCCTTTTGTGTCCACTGTGCCACCAATTTGTGGACCAGACCCCACTGACCACTCGGACCACCCACCTCAGGGCCTCCTGCTGCTGGCAGGCAGGCGCCCGTGCCCACCACTGTCCAGGTGGGGGATGAGGCCCTAGAACCGGGCAGGACATCCAATGAGAGGACCTGCTTCCCCACCTTGCTGGGGCCTGTCCACAACCCCCGGGGGTCCCTGGACCGTCTGCTGAGGGCCACCCCCACCCCCTGCCCTGCTCGCTCTGTTCCTGAGTCGGGGGCCACTGGGGGCTCTGCCACAGTTGCTACTGCTCATACTCAGGCCTGGGGATGGATCCTGGACCCCACCTCTGCCCCGAGGGGTGCTCCGCCCTGTGCTCTCCATCCCAAGCCACACCTCAGGCGCCCACCTGTCCCCTGACTCCAAACTTGACCATCCCAAGGCCTAAGAAGTCCTCCCAAGTAGCCCTCTTTATGTCAAGGGCTTCCTAGAGCTCTTCGAATAAAATCCAAACCCCTGCCAGAGTCTGAAGGACCCTCTCACCTGGCCCGTCGTGCCACCGCCACCCTCCTCTGCACTCGCCACGCGCCTCCGGACTGCTCTTCCCACACACTGAGCTGCTCCTGCCTCAGGGCCTTTGCACAGAGGAGAGACCCGGGATCCAGAGGTGGCTCCTGCTGTCATGGTTGGCCAAGGTGCAGGACAGTCATTCTGTCTGAATTCAAGGATAGCTGTCACAAGCCTTCTCAGAAACTAAAGAGGGGCCCTCAAGGCCCCCCAGACTCACCCTGACCTGGAGATGCCGCTTCACAGAAAGCCCTGGCTACAGGTGGGCCAGGTCAAATGCCACCCCTCAATGCATCGGGTTCTGGGCACTTCAAGGCAATTCTGAGTCCTCTGTGACCATGTCCCACCACCCCAGACCTCTGGATGGAGGCCGCTGGCTCCTGAGCTGGCTGCTGTGAGTAAGCAGCAGGGACAGGGTGTCACAGGGGGCCCAGGTCACCCTGATGAATGGCACCTGCTCAGACGCTGCCTCCTCACCTGTCAGCCCCACCTGCGAACACCAGGCGGCTCCCAGGAGGAATGGCCAGTGACGTCCCCCCATGAGGCCGGCTCAGGGCGCTCGTCTCAGGTGCCCGTTCTCAGGGGGGTGTGGAAGTGGAGGGGGTCCCCGGGGAGCAGAGGCTTGGGCTCGAGGGGTCGGGAAGGGCGACTACAACGCGTGGGCCTCCTTTGGATCCGGATTTTACGAAAAACGAAAAGAAACTGTGATACTTGAAGTGACTGGGAGTTTGCAAGCCGAGCAGGCATGGGAGGGAAGGAGGGCTTCTTGCTAATTGTTTTAAGCATAAAAGTATCGCAGTCATGTTTAAAAAACGGGTTTGAGCTTGATCTCGCCATTTCGCAACGCATGCGTGTCGGAAAACCTCACGCTGAGCCCCGTGAATACGTATGATTTTCACTCATCAATTACACCTTATAAAGTTGGGAGAAGTAATTTTTAAAAAACGACGATTCTCACTACGATATTTATGGAGGCCAAGGTCTGGGAACTACTTGCAAATGACCTAGGGGCAGGAGCGGGCAGGAGCGGGCAGGGGCGGGCTGGGCAGCCCAGGGCCCTCCTCATCCTGCTGCCTCTGAATATCAGAAATTCTCCGTAAGTAAAGGAGAACTTGAATCAATAAACCTTCTATATTAATGCAGAGTATCCTCCAGGGTGGGCACTGGGGCTGGAGAGACGGCGGGAGCCTGCTGCAGGGCTGGGGTCCCAGACAGCACAGGGCCCAGGCGGGAGTCACTGGGCAGCCCCTGGGGCCCAGGCTCAGTCCTCTGCAGACCACAAACCCGCAGCCAGGCCCAGGCGGCCGGCCCGTGTCCTTCAGGGTTCCCTGGCTAGTTCCAATCTCATGACCAGGTGGGGGGAAGGGAGGGGCCACTCCCAGGAGGTTCTGGAATCCTGACCAGCCAGACCAGTTCCTTCCTCCCCTCAAACGGACATTTCACTTCTTGCTCGACAGACAGAACCACGTAGGTGGCCTGCGTGGAAGGGACCAGCTGCCCGCTGCTCCCCGGCCAGCAACACAAAGACTCAGAATGGGGTTCACCCTGTGCAGGTGCCTTGGGCTACCCGCTTGTTGAACGTCCCGGTGACCCTGTGAGTAAGAACCCTGTCCCCACTTACGAGGAGCAGACAGAGAGGCTAGCAGCTGACTTCAGATCACCCAGCCTGGCAGGGACCACAACAGCCTGCTGGCTTAGGATGCTCCTGACAGGGGACACATGCCAAGAGAAGTGACCGAGCAAAAGCCCCTTGGCCAGTCCACTGCCCTCAGGGAACCCCCAAACCTGAACAGCATTGGCTACCAGAAGTTCCAGGGAGACTCCCGCTGCTGCGGGGGGACAGGTGCACTGTGCACACTCACCACTGCCCTGCGGGGGGGGGGGGACAGGGGCACTGTGCACGCTCACCGCTGCCCTATGGGGGGACAGGGGCACTGTGTACCTCACCGCTGCCCCGCCCTCAGTGGGTGTGTCTTCCTCCTTGAGCATCAGGTTTAACCTGGGCACCGAGGGGGGAGCTAAACAATTTACCTGGAAAGAAATGGGAATATCACTGTTCTGCCCGGTGGTGATTTCACATGGACTCGAGGGCAGACACCTGCAGCCTTCCAGGGTCTCCCTCACACCTGCCTGCCAGCTCCCACCTGGGGGCAGTGGGGAGGGTGGGGACCCTGTCACCACACCACAGCTGGCTCCTGAGCCTGGCTTTCCACCCAGCCACAGTGTGACTAGCCCTCTCTGCCTCAGACTCCTCATCTGTGAACGTGGACAGAGAGAAGACCAGCTTCGGGAGGCTGGGTGAGCAGGGGATGACGGGCTGGCCAGCAGGGTGCTTCCTGACTCCTCCGCGACCCCCGCCTGCCAGCTGGCTGTGCCTCGGTTTCCCCACCATGAGATGAGGGTAAAATCGGGGGACGGGTGGGCTTCCACTGAGGGAAAGAGAGAACAACACGCACCTCCAGGTGACCAGAGCTCTTTGCGTCCCCTCTTGAACTGCACCCTGACCATCTGCACCCCTGGGGCAGCGGAACTTTGCCAGGGATGCATAGCCTTGGCCTTCCACAACTCAATGACTCTGTGATATGTATCACGTACACCCACCCCACTGTCAGGTGTGCGAAGGCACTTCCGTCCCCACCACACCTTGAACCCTGCTGGCCATCTAGACACCTCTGCCTGCTCAGTTCCGCCAGAAGGCCTCCTCCTGCGGGAGGCTCTCCCTGGCCTCCCCAGCCTCTGACTTCTATCACACAGGGTTCAGGCCCTGAGCCCTGAGACAGGGACCAGGCTGGGCTCAGACCCAGGTCCCCCTCCCCCGCTGGCAGCGGTAGGGGGAAGGGTCAGCCAAGGCATTCCACAAGGACCTCACAACACGGTCCTGAAACCCCCGCAGGAGGCCAGCACGGAGGCCAGCTCGGCCGGACCTCTGCTTCCAGGTGGCTGGGTCAGCGAAGTTCTGAGCTCTCACTTGGACACCGCGTCTCACCGACAGAAGGAAGAGGAGATTTCACAGCCTCTGCCACAGAACCTAAGTGGGCAGCCACCAGGCAGCCAGGCGGTCCCCACTGGGGCCTAAGGAGGACTCAGGAATTCCACCCCTCCCCCAGCGGCCTCCGCAGTCCTCCTGCAGGGGCCCCAAAGCTCCCTCGAGGCGGGACACTCCGCGCCAGGGCTCAGGGAAAGTGAAAGCAGCCAGCGCTGGCTCCCCCGGGGCGACCCGAGGCCGGCCGATGGGTCTGCACCTCTGGCTCGGGTTCGGCCGCGGTGTGCGGCGCTGGCGGCCAGGCCCGGCCCCGGTTTGACTCCGCGCGCTCGGCCGCCTCATCTGCGAAGCGGGAGCGGTGACACCAGCTGGCAGGTTCGGGCGCGGAGCCGAGGGCCCGGGCAGCGCGCTAGTCGCGAGTCTGAGCGCCCGTCGTCCGGGAAGCGCGGCGGCACGAGTTTGGGGGGACGCGGCCGGGACCGACCAGGCGGGAGGGGGTGGGCGCCGAGCGCCGGAGGGGGCGGGCAGAGGCGAGGGCAGCGCGCCCAGGGCCGCCGGAGGCCGTGCGCGCCACGCGCCCCCTCGCGGGCGGGTCCCCCGCGGGGCCGCGCGAGCGCATCGCGACTCACCTGGCCTCTGCGCGTCCCAGGCTCACTGACCACGCCCCGGACGCGGCTCCCGGGCAGGCCCCGCCCCTCGCCCCGCCCCTCGCCCTCGCCCTCGCCGCCACCGCGCGCCCCGGGGCCGGCACCCACCTCGCGCCACCGCAAGTGGCTCCTCTCGGCCAGCTCCGAGGTCCCCGCGCTCTGCAGCTGGCACCCGGCCTCCGCCTCGCGCGTCCCTCCCGCATCGCACCCGCGCGCCTTCCTCGCCGCCCAGGTCAAGGATGCGCCATCCGAGGAGCCAAGGGTGCGATCTGCGCGCACCACCCAGGAGGCCCCCGAAGCGCCTTCTGGGCCTGGCGCCCAGCGCACTACCCCGGGTGCTGAGGGGTCCCTATGGGGCTGAGGGGCAGGGAGGTTCGCCTCCTGCCCATGGGCACGTCACTGCCCCCACCCTGAGGGTCGCATGCTGGGCCAGCTCATGACTGGGGAGACTTAATCCCGAGGCCCCAGCTGGGGACTCAGAACACTGGAGGTGCCTTGTCCCTCCAGGGCTCAGCAGAGGACTCCTCCATGTCCTGTGATATTTCCCTGTGCAGCTCCACAAGGTGGGGCTCGGAGGGTGGGTGTGCCAGGGCCCTGTCCGCTGCCCACCTCTCTGGCTGCACTGCCTGTGCCTCCTAGTGGCCTGATCCTGGTCTCCCTGGACTCTGAAGATCCACATCCATCCAGGGCCCTGCCTCCTTCCACCCACATTTGTCCACCAGGGGCGCAGATCTCACCCAGCCCCTGCTGCCTGCGCCCTGATGACCCCTTACTGACTCCTCCCCAACCTCAGGCTCCTGCTTCTACCAGCCTGCAGGACACCTGGGCCTGGAGGTCTTGGCCAGCAGCTCAGGGGCTCCAGGGTCCCCAGGGTCCCTCTCCTGCCTTCCCATCTCCTTCTTCCATTGGCCCCATCCAAACCCTTGGCACCCACATGTGGGCCATGGTGAAGCCCTGGTGGCTCCTCCTTCCAAAGGCCTCAGATGCCACCACGCCCCTCACCCAGCCCTGGGCCAGGCCCTCCCAGCCTCTGCTTCAGCACAGCAGCCAGGGGCCCTTCCTGAGGATCCTCCAGCTGTCCACCTCCTCCCCCATCCCTCACGCTGCTGGCTGCCTCTCCCCCGACCTGGATTAGGAAGTTTGGTACACTGAGAGCCAGAGCACTGGGGACAAGAATCTCCTACTCATCCTTCTCTGGGTTCACAGCTGTGTCCCTAAAACAAAAGGCAGATTAACAAAAGCTCGGTGTACAAACTAATGTGTGTGTGTGACGCGGAGCCTTCCTAAGAGATGAAGACAGAAGACACAGGGACGCGTGTGTTTTATGCTCAGGTTGGATGCAGAGCAGGTGGTGGTGGGGAACGGGACTTGTGATACGGAAGTCGGCATGGCCGGTTTAGTCAGATTCTTCTCTGTGTCCCTGGGTCTTGGGAGATAAGGATGTCACTTTCCTCTGGGTGTAAGTAGGCACCTCCCAGATGATCATGGAAGA